GCCGCTTCCCGTCAGCGCCGCCGGCGTGAGGCGAGCGCGGCCGCGGAGCGCGCAGCGGGGCGGAGGCGGGGACAACGAGTGCGCGCGGCACCTCCCCCGGCCAGGGCGGGGCGAGGCGGGGCTGGGCGCCTCGGGGCCTGAAGGGCTGCGAGCGAAGGCGGAGCCGCGCAGCGAGGCTGGGGTCGGAGGGCGAAGCCGCGCAACGAGCCTGGGGTCGGAGACTGGGCCAGGCCGATCAGCCGATACTTCGGTCCGTCATCCTTCCCCTCCCCTAGCGGCCGCAGCAGGGCGGGGCTCGCGTGTGGCTGCTCGGCTGTCTCCAGGCCCCGCTCCCTGGTTGCACAGTCCCCTCTGCGCTCCGCGCCTGCCGCCCGCGCTGTGCCTCCATCTTCCCCGCAGGAGGACTTTTAAATAGCAACGTCAGCACGCTCTCCCCGCACGCACGTCACCCGCTACTCACGTCACCGGGTGCGGGGGATGATGTCACGCGGCCGGAAGTACTGCTAAATTAGGGGAGGCTTAGGGGAGGAGGACGAGGGGGGAGGCCCGCCTGTCCCCACCTGCTAGCTCTTCTCAAAGGCCAAAGCGCAGGAGACAACCCGAGAAGATTCGGAGGAAGGGGCGGGAGGTGCAGAGTTCCTTGCTGCAAATGTGCCAAGCGCGAGTGACTCATTCATAGCAACAGCCACCTCTTTTGCAGCGGCGTCCCCGCCGGCTGCGAGGTGTAGGAGGCCGAGCCCTGTCGCCCGCGGTGGAGGCGATTTATGTGAGACTTGGGGAGAATTACCCTCACCCGAGATCCGGAGTGCCAGCGCGAGCACGCCTGACGTTTCAGCGTTCTTTTTCTCTGGTTGTCTAAAACACGGGCGAAGTACAGTGGAGTTGTGAACAGTGTTAGGAAAGATGGTAACTAAACTGGAGGAAGGCCAGCGAGTGATCTGTAAAATGTTTTCATATTTAAAATAACAATAGTCTGGCGTGAGATAATGAGTCAAATTCTGATGAAGCAGTTCACTCAGATAAGTATCATATACATAGCAAATGCCAATGAACACACATTTGTAGTTTATGAAGAATATGAATTGCAGTCTGGAAATTAAGACTCCGAGTCATTTTGTATTGACGCACGTCTAGGTTATTTTTTGTCTTTATTAGTTTTCACTGTGTAAGTACAGTATCTCAAGTATTTTTTAAAATTTCTATGTGGAAGCATGAGTAGCCATTCATACATTTGCAACAATATATGTATGTGTATTCATAAAAAATAAGAGCTTTTAAGCGTGAGGTCGTGAGTTCGATCCCCGGTAACAGAACAAGTGCTTTTCAAATTGTAAATTACTATATAGTTTTTTAATGGCTTCCTTGTTTTAAGAGTTTTATTATTAAGTACATTCAAGTAAAAAGTTTGATTTTATTTAACTTGATAGTCATGGTACAGAAATAAACTTGTGACATACTGCCAAAGGGCATTACTATTTCAGAGTTAGTCTACAAATTCAGTGACCATATTTTACAAACCAATATCCAGATACACCAATCTGACATTAAGCAAAGTATGTGAAATCTGAAGTTACCTGGAAAACCACACGATAGGATTTATCAACCTATGAAGTCGTTGTAAGAAAACTAGTAAGTCGTGTATCCGTGCAGTTCAAATAAAAGGAGCTAAAATCTATGTGTAGTTTTTAAAGAAAGTTTTTAATGTTAAGTGCTTTTAATGTCAAATAAGACGATTCTTAATTAAGGAACGTTGGTTTTCCAACTGTGTCTACCTTTTGTTGCTCAAGTTAGGAATCTAGGATTAAAGAACAGCAGTAAAAGACAGTTAAGACCAATGTGCAGCCTATTCAGGCTATCTAGATGTCTTCACATTTGTACAGTCATGACCTCAGGTAAAGCTTGAAATATTGAAAGTGAGACTTTTTAAAAGATTGTAATGAAAAGTTAATAAAAAGCAAATCTCTGCTTGCCAGTTTGTCTAATGTATAGTCATACTAATAGAAACTGGTACAAGTTTATATTGCACAAAAATGAAGCTTCTTCTGTACAATGAAATAATAAAACTGCCATTTTTCAAATAATGTCATTACTTGGCTCTGAAAATTAAAATATAAATTGTGTTATTCTACAAAAAAATTCTCTACTGTTCCCTATCTGAACTGCGTAATTTTCGCTTTCCAGCTATTTTTCCCCTTGTTAAATCTCTCACTTTACCATTTTCAGACACTTCATTGTGCCCTTTCCTCACACTTCTCGTTTAGTCTTTCTCCCAGTCTTCACCCAGTCGTCAAAACAGCTTGTCAGCTGCCTTTACCTTTAGAATGCTGACCTTCATTACTCTCTACTTTTCAGGGTGACACCCTGGTTTCTTCTCAGTTACCTCTTTGTCAACTGAAAATTGGAAGCATCTATTTTTCTGTGTAAATCTAATGGTGTACTGTAATACAGTTCCCTGAAATGTATGGGATTATGTCAGCTTCGAAGTCTACCTGGAATTGATGCTAGTTTGTGTGGGATTAGTATATGGGGAAGTACATATATGTCTGTATTTCCAAATATGTAAGTAAAACTTGAGACACTTTATGTAATATGTAGTATCTGTAGAAAAAAAAAATGCCTTTGCCCTGCCCTTGAAATAATTCCACTACTGTTTGGAGAGGAGTCAGAGAAGCATTCTGGGACTTTCCATCTATAAACAAATATTTTTATTCATAAAATGAGCAGATAAATACAAATTCAAGTTGTGATTTCCCAACCCTAATTCCTTTGTATGTTTTTTAAAGTTGTGAACTTCCTAGAAAGTAATGTATTTTCTTTTACCGGAAAAGAGAGAAAGTACTTTAGCAGCATTTCTGATTTTTAATAGTTCCTGTTTCCCACTACACACTGACAATTTGTGGGCCGGTTTATGAATACCCTCTGATTTTAGAATCTGTAGGCGAAGACATCTGTTTTAGTTATGAAGTTTACTTCCATGCCCTTAATAGGAAATGGCATTCAATGGGTGTTCATAGATTGATTTCAAGGTATGTCTTTGTCAATGAAAGGCATTCATCAGAAAAAATTTGCAGGAAAGAGTTTGAACCAAATATTTTTTACTCATATTCAATAATAGTAACTCCTTTTTTTCAAGCTGCTCTTTTTAATTACCAAATACCATTATTACTTCAAATTAATTCAGATATATTAATAATAGATAAAAATATATCTCCATACAATAAAAACCTCAAGAATCCTAGGTTATGGCATATACTTACACAGATACAAACCAGCAAAGACTAACTCTTACTAATGAGGGGAAATGAAAGAGGTGTAGGGAAATAGATTTTACCCACTGGACTATCCAAAATCATCCCCATCCACCAAGTTTGGCACACCACTAGATTGTGTTGGGCCTGTGTTATGGATTAAAAACTGGTGGTCAGCACCAGCTGAACTAAATCAGCATGGTGCTGAGTGTAGATGGCCCACCTGAGGAAAGTTGCCAGCATAAATAAAGATGTGGCAAGAAAGAGTGTAGCATTGTGGATTCTCCTAAGTGTTGTTTGGAGCCATTTGTTTTCCTGGAGGAGTTTGTCATGGCTAGCTTCCCCAGTGTGAGTTAGACCCCATTATTATCAGAGGAGCTCAGGATCTTGTCACTGAGAGTGGCTATGGTTTACTTTAGGGGAGCTCTGGGTTTTACTTTGAACATTGTTTCTGGTTTCAGAGGGGAAGATGTGTGCTGTTTAATCTCCAGGAGAAGTTTGTCACGCTGGCTTCCTGACATGTACTTAACCGTTCTCATCCTCAGGGGAGCCCAGGACCTCATTGTCGCTGAAGATGGTTGCAGTACTTTCTTCAGAGCTCTAGGCCTTATTTTGAACATCACTTCTTGGCTCCAGTGTAAAATCTTCAACCTACTAGCACAGATCTTTCATCCTGTTGGCATGAACTTTCTAGCTTTCGCTGCTGATCTTTGGGCCTTCCCAGCTCAGATCCATAAAACAGACTTGCATGAGTCATTATTATGGGCCCTGGACCTCCAGTTAGACTCATGGAAGGCATTGTCATGGGCTCTTGGTCTTCAACTGGACTCATACAGGACTCTGCTGTGGGTTCTAGGCCTTTGGCTGGATATTCTGCCTTTAGTGCCGTGAACAGATTTCCTGCACTTTCTTGTATTTAACTCTGGTTGATCATCATAAAATAATACTACCAATTCTGTGTCTGGTATGTAATTGTTCTCCTTGCAACCCCTGACTATAACAGCCTACTGTAAAGAACCATCCTTTATTATTATTAATAAGGTTCTCAATAGGAAAGAGTAAGCGGTCTCTTCAAGGAAAGCTAAGTCACCTAAAGAAAAGAAAGAAGCAGCAGTCTCAAGGAAAGGATAAAAGTGTTTGGCATCTCCATGTCAGTAAGGACATGTTTTACTCTTTCAAGAGCATCTACAGAGTGGTAGAGAGAGAAAAGTTGGAGAATTATCCACAGGAAACTATGATATAATACATACATCTCAGGAAATGTCTTTTCTACTCTTTTCTACTCTGATTTTTACTGTAAAATCATTGATCATTTTCCCCATTTGGTCAAAGAAATACAAATGATACTAGACTGGTGAAAGAGTCTAATATCAGTTATGTGTTATTGAGGGTCTGGAGAGAATAAAATTAAAGGAAATTGATACAACACTGTTAATTTTTAAATATTCTGGGAATAAAAGACTTTTGAAAAAAATGATCTGGTTTAGCATTGAGTTGTTTGTTTGGTTGGTTGGGTGATTATTTTAAGTAGCAGAAAACAGGCTAGAAAAACATGCAGGTCTGCAGAAAGCTACAGTAAAGTGTGGAGTCAAGCTTGTGCTCTACCTGTGCAGTTACTCTGAATGGAATGCTGTGGAAGCTGATTGCCATGGTAACCAATGATCTTTTTCCTGAATGGGAGAATAAAACAACCATGAGAAAAATATTTTAAATGAGGTACCTCATTTTGTGACTCATTTGGTGCCAGTTAAGATTAAAAACAACACCAAAGGCATTCAGGACCCTCATGTTTATGAAAGGAAATTGCCTTTTTTTCAGAGGTGAAGTCAAGGCAAAAATGCTGAACTATTTCAAAGACAGATGAAGCCCTGAGGCAGCAATTACCGACTTTGAAGCACAGCACACTTGGTAAAGATTCTGACACAGCTATAGAAGGCAGAGCAATATACAGAACCCGTACTGAAGGTGCTCATCAGCATAAGAGGTCAGTGAGATCCTCTGCATTTCAGGGTTTCAGTCAAAATATTTTATGAGTTATTTGTGAGCCTTTTTATTTTGTTTTGTTTTATTTCTTTCAATCTGGTTCTAAATTGTAACTGCTTTCACTATTAAAAATGGAAACTATATATCTATAAGGTTTTCTAGAGAAAAAATCAATAGCATGTACAGAGATACAGAGAGATGCAGACCAGTATCAATCAGTAGATAGATAAATGGAAAAGTATTCTAGAATTTGGCTCACATGATAATGAAAACTGAGGATCTGCACAGTAGAGGACCAGGAAAGTTGATGACATAACACACTATCAATCTGAAAGGCTTGAGCACCTGGAATTCTCATCTCTAACACAGAAGAAGATGACTGTCTCAACTTCAGAAGAGAGAGAATTACCCTTTTGTCTGCTGTTCTGTTCTATCCAGGCCTTCCACAGATTATAGGTGTCTGCCCACTCTCATGAGGGTGGGGCCTCTGTATCAATTCACTGGACCAAATGCCAGACTCTTCTAGCTTTTGTCCTTGGCTCTGTTAATGTGGTGTATTACATTTAATGATTTATGTATGTTGAACCATCCCTGCATCCTTGGGGGCCAGATGCTTCTAGGCTGACACATCCAAAAATAGTGTAGCTATCTGAGTATCTGTTAGCTCAGCAAAATCAATACCTAAAAATAACAGTAACAATATTTATTATTTTAATAATGAATTACTTTATCATTCTTATATACAGTAAAATTATAATTTGCATACATTGATTGAGTCATCTGCTCCTCATCCTTTTTTGTACCTCTTTCCTGGAGCATAGATGTCCAAAATCTCCACATAGTGTACTATGCTCATCATTCAGTTCTGTGCTCAAACCACATCTCACAAGAGAAATCTCCAAACATTCTTCATGAGATATCTATATATATCCATAATCACTAATCCTCCCCTTAACTTGCCTTATTTTTTTCATAGTATAGTCAACTCTGTCTAAAACAGTTGCATAGATTCATTAGTTTATTTGTAGGATATATTCCCTTGAAGGAGAATTTTTTCAACCTCATTTGCTTCCCCACGTTTAGCACACAGTGGGTGTTCAATAATGTTTATTGGAAGAATGAATTGCTGAGATTTTCAATTATCCTCAGGTAGAAATTATTTGATCAAGTCAGATTCTTAGCTAGTTATCTAGAATAAACAACAAAAATCTGTTCTAACTAGAACAAAAGGACTTAAAATAATGGTATACATTGCATACCAAGTCACTGGGAGTCTCCTTGGGCTGAGGTTTTGGGAACCAGAACTGGTAGGAAACAAGACACTCAAATTAGGCACTTTTAGGAGTCCTTCATAAAGATGATGCCCTTTACAAAGGGGGAACAGGGTTAGGAAATCCCTGACAAGAGGGCAATACCTGGCTTAGCAGGACACACTGTGCTTTTCATGCTTCAAAGGACTGAAGGAAGACATAGTAGCTGGTTCCTAGAGAGAGGAGGCTGTGGGGAGAGGGAGCTATGTCCTTTGCTCAGTGGTATCAGTAAGCCACAGAAATCCCACCCACCTCCAAGAGGCAGCCCTCAAAATAAATACCTCAGTCTTTCTCTCCTCCCAAAGCACACCTCAGTGTCTCCTGCTAGTGTTCATCTTCTAAAGCTAACACACTGGAAACTACAGATTGTCATCCTAGTGCAAAGAGCAGGGGAAAAGAGTTCAAGATGGGTCTAGAGGGGAAAATGTAAGATATCTAGTCCAATTCTGTTCCATTCATCAGTTATTAGATTAGCAATTAAAGTGTGGCATGTGGGGAAACAAGCACAATGAGAATTTAAATTGGCATGTCTTGAAGGTGTAGGTAAGTCTTGACAAAGCCAGTCAGCTGTACACTAGCAAAAAGAGCTTCCTTATGTTTGTGTTATGCCTAAGTTAAATGACCAAAGTACCTGTAACATCACCATACTGTTATGTATGCATCTTTTTTCTGGGTGACCTAATTGATATGTTAATCAATGCTCTCCTCTGTAAAGAATTGTAAATCCCTGGGAACCAGACCTAATTGATATGTTAACCATTGCTGCCCTTTACAAATAACAGATGTTACCTAAAATTGAGTGCTAAAATAAGTTGACAAAGGATTGTTAATTCCTGCTAGACTTCTCTGTTCTCTGCAAAGGGAAACAAAGGTCTTCCTCATTCCTTAGCAGATTTCCTGATCCAAGCCCATAACCCCTTACTTTGTAAACTGTGCTTTCTACAAAAAGTCTGAAAAGTTTTGAGGGAGACACACAGCTTTTGCAAACTCCAACTGCACTGTGTCACTGGGCCCAGGATAAAATAAATCAGCGCTGCTTTTTAAAAAGAAACATGTCTTGCCCCATTTTTGGACCCAAAATTAGGGGCTCTGGGGGGCTCATTTGCAGATTACAAGAAGTCTATGTCAACAAATGTATTTTGACAGTATATTTTCTCAGGTGTTCAAAGAAACACATACAAAGGTGTTTTGTTTATTTTAAAGTGGAAAAAGGAGGGAACACAATTGTTAGTTCTATCCTATCCATAGAGGACTGATTAAATGTGGTTTAGCCATACAATGCAGAAGTTAAAAGGAATGAGGCAGATCTATAGTGCTGGTGTGGAAAGATGCTAATACTATACAGAAAAAATTCTGGATGAGCACAAATTGTGGTTACCTTTAAGGTGTGAAGCTATAGATTTGAGAGTTTCAGACCAGGATTTTTAAAAATAACTCCCCCTCCCCCCTGCACTATTTGTATTCTTAGGGATGTTTTGCCATGAATTTGATATTTTAATAAAAAATTGTTTTAATATTTTATTTAAACATAAGCAAATGTTTAGAGCTCAATTGTAATAGAATATGTCAATATGCATTCATTTTCTTATCTCATCTTTTTTTTGGAAAGAAGACCCTCTAAGTGTACAAAAATACATTTCTAAAAAGAAAAAAACAGGAATAAACTATTTTGTTGGAAACACTAATTTCTTTTTATTCTCCACTGAGGAGAGCAGATCTGAGAAATGTGATAGCTCAGACCCCAGAATAAAATCCAAGGAAGCAAGAAATTAAAATTTGGGGAGCAAAGGCTTTATTTTAGGCCAGGCCTGGCGAAGCAATCTCTGGGAGCCAATATGGACACTGCACACCGTACAGCTAGGGGATTAGGCTTTTAAAGCTGAAAAACTACAGGAATGTTGTAATTGCTGACACAGTTAGGTAGCATCTGGGCTGTACAGAACCTTCTGTAATTTCCTCGAAGTTAAGCATTTCTTAAAGAACAGCACATTTTATTACAGATAGCCAGATGAGGGGTGGGGGTGGGGTTACAGGAAACTGATACCTAAGGCTTTTACAGCTTTCTCAGGAAATAGAAACTTAACCTAGAAAGATAGGAAAGGGGGGTGGCTGATTGGCACATACAGAACAGGAATGAGGTGCAATGGTTCAAACTAGGCTATAACATTCCCCTCTAATGTTGTGACTGAGGCCAAATACTTGGCCAGGTAGTTGGGAATGAGCTTTATGCCTTGCATTTGTTGTCTGGCATATGCAGTTATTCTATTGAGTATATAAGGACCTACTGTGATCAAAAGCAGTACTCCTAACAATGGTCCACGCAATGGCAGGAGATAGGGCAGGATTCCATTCTAGACACTCCATAAAGGGTTTTTAAATAGCTCTCTCCTCCTTTTAACTAGGTTTTTCTGTAAATCTCTTGATTTAACCTTGGACAGTGCCAGACTTATTTACATAAAAGCAGCATCGTTCCTGCAATGCCGCACAGATCCCTCCTTGTTCTGCCTTAGGAGGTCTAGTCCCCTTTTGTTTTGGAGAACTACTTCAGCCAACGAGTCTATTTGGTCTTGAATGACCTGAATGGTACTAGATAATGCCTGCACATCACTAATGATATGGTTGGAAAGTTGGACAGAAACCCCTACTCCTGCTGCCCCCATACTTAAGGCTCATGATATTTCTAAGCCTACCAATAAAGGGATAAATTGAACTGCCCTCTTTGATCAGCCTGTGATGTAATCTAAGCTCGGAATGGGGACAGGCTCATCCTCTATATCAGGCAATAGGACAGCTATTATACATATCCCTGTCCAGTTAGTTGGGAGGAAAGTATAGGCCATATTTCCTCCACAAATAAATACTTGCCCTTTGGCGGGATAAAGAGAGGTAGTCCGGTTAACTATGGAACTACAATTAGTAAATGCAATGAACCCCACGTCAATGTCAGAGATATTGTTATGAAAACCTCCTTGGAGACAGAGAGAGTCCTTGAAGCCTACTGGTTGTACTCTACAGGGGGGGCCAGCACTACAATTTAAGTAATCTTGTTCCTCCAGCATAGTCAGAGAAACATTGGTGGGGATCGCAAGGGGTATGGGGGAGCCCTGTGCCATGCATAACCAGCAATCTTCAGCCAAAGTTGGGTTGGAAGCATTTAAAGCTTTATGAGTGGCCTCTAGAATATCAGAAGATTGAGCATCCAGATCAACTCCCTGCGATTTAGGCAGCATCAAGGGCTGATAATGTATCTGGGGAAACATATTTTTATTAGCTGCTTGACTCGTTCCTCAACCATGAATTCTCTGATCTTATCTTGCAGACTGCCCCCATCAGACACATGTATAGGGGCCACCCTGCTCCAGCACACTGATTTACCAACCGTGCCAAGACATGAGGCTTGGGCATACTTTGAACTTCCAATTACTGTCAGATTGGTGGACCAATCACCTCCAACACTTCCAGCCCAGGTCCTCATAAGCTCAGCAGTGAAGTAAGTTTTGTTATCTGTGCCTATACATTCTTGTACAGAGTCATAACAGGAGGAATGCATTTCTGAATACTAAGAACAATTCTGAGGGCATGGCGCTGGCTGGCTGCCTTTATTAGGTATCACACTGGGCTTTAACATACACATACACCTTTGAGTCAAACCCCCTGTAACTGAGGGTATAGCAACAAGGAATGTTAACTTGTACCCACAGTCTGTACAAAGACTGTATGTATACAATTTATCATTTGTGTGGGAAGGATCTCGATCCTTGTTTCCTACTGTATGTATAATTCCCCCCCCAGTTGGTGTCTTTACCTTTAGTAATATAGCCCCCTCCACAATCACAGGGTTTCCCATACAAAAATCTTAACAATTGTTCTTTGCTTACAGGGGGACCAAAGCCACAATGCAAGATCAGCATCAATGTTATTAAAATCAAAGCAAGCAAGCTAAAGGAGTTCATGCCTGGCATAATCTAACTATGCTTAGTCAATTTTAACTTCAAGGGGTTACCAGTCTGCTGTACAGTCCACTGAGAACACTCCTTGCTTCTGTTGCTTCCAGTGGCTTGACGTGGGTATGGTGAACCCACACAGTCTTTCCTGCTATCTTGACGGTGGGGGGAATGCTGAGCACCTCGATGAAATGTCCTTCCCAGCAGGGTTTGAGGGAGTCACGGTGGTGACGTCGCACCAAGGCAGGAGTCCCTGGCTCGATCCAGTGCTTTGAGTGGTGTCTCTGAAGGCAGATCCGGGTGTTTTTGTCTAAACAGCTGGTAGATTGAAGTCAACATGGGTTGGAGAGTCTGCAGGGACTTAATGAGATCTTGGTTAGTTTTTTCAACTAATTTGTCCTCTGACAGTGTTGGGACCAGTGAGGGGGTCTTCCAAACATAGCCTCAAAAGGGGAAATTCCAGAAACATATGGGGTACATCTAGTTCTTAACAGCGCAAAGGGAAGAAGGGTCACCTAGTTATTGCCAGTTTCCAAGGACAATTTAGTTAAAGTATCCTTGATGGTCCGGTTCATGCGCTCTACTTGCCCTGAGCTTTGTGGCCAATAGGCACAGTGGAGTTTCCAAGTAATCTTTAATGCCTGGACTAACTTTTGGTTGACTTGGGCTATGAAAGTCAGGCCATTATGGGACCCGATTGATAGTAGGAGGCCAAATCAAGGTATGATCTCATGCCATAGTTTTTTAACTACCACTAAGGCTGACTCGGACTTAGTAGGGAAAGCCTCTACCAGGCCAGAGAAGGTGTCTACTAATACTAAGAGATAGCAGTGCCCCTGTAAACCAGGCTTTACCATGTCTGTGAAGTCTACTTCCCAATTCCTTGATGTTGGGTGGTCTCCAGTGGAGAGTTCTTAGACGGGTTAACTAACAATCACTGTGCATCTGGAGCTCAAAGAGGCAGTCAGTTTGGAGAGTTTTGGAATAAAAAACCGAGTTCTGAACAATTCAACAAGTTTAGTTCCCCCTAAATAGGTGGTCTGATGAGCTTGGTGTAGCAGCTCTCACCCTAGTGCCTCTGGCAATAGTACCCACTTATCAGGCAACTGGTTGCAGCCCTCTGGGGTGGGGGACTTCGCTCCAAGTTGAGATGCTAACTGTAAATCTTTCTTTGTGTAGATTGGTTTTGACAGGGTCGAAGGAACTAGCAGCAGAGCAGTTACTTTCTCGGTGGGCCCCTGTAATGTGATTGCTATTTTTTGAGCGGGTTGATCTGCCAAATTGTTTCCTAAGGTGACGGGGTCAACTCCTGTCTGGTGAGCCTCGCAATGAATAATAGCAACTCGTTGAGGTAGCCAGACAGCTACCAGCAAGTCTAGAATCTGTGGAGCATTTTTAATCTTAGTCCCAGCCAAGGTTAAGAGACCTCACTCCTGATAGATGGCTCCATGTACATGTACAGTAGCAAAAGCATATCTACTGTCAATATAGATGTTTACCCTCTTTCCCGTCACTAGTTTTAGCGCCTCAGTCAAAGCAATGAGCTCCGCCTTTTGGGCAGAGGTGCCAGGCTCTAACTCCTTAACCCAGAGTACCTCCTTTTCGGTGGTCACTGCTACCCCGGCCACTCGTTTGTCATTTTGGATGAAGCTGCTTCCATCTGTGAAATAGCTGTCAGCATTTCCCAAAGGCTGGTCGGTAAGATCAGCCCATAGGTTCTGCTGTAGTTCGAGGATGTCTGCACACTCATGGAGAGGTGTCCTTTGTTCCTCTTGGTCATTGTCAAGCAAAAGGGTGGCTGGGTTTAAAGCTGAAGAAGTCTTGAAAACTACCAACTCTGGGTCTAGAAGCAAGGCCTGATAGTGTACAATTCTAGTGTTCAAGAACCATTTTTCAGGAGGGGTTTTGATAAGAGTCTCTAAATTGTGGGAGGTCACTACAGAAATCTTCTGTCCAAAAGTGAGTTTTTTTAGCCTCTTTAAGTAACATTGCCACAGCAGCTAGGATTCTCAGGCAGGGGGGCCATCCTCCTGTCACCGGATAATAAAACCCCTTGAGTTTTCATGAGCTGGTTCTTTGGGGTCTTCTTCATGACAGTGATCTTACAATATGTCTTGTTATCTTTGAAATAGCTGCCCATGCCATTGGATATGATAAAATCAAATAAGACATAACAGAATAAAACCTAACCCAACAAAACAATGAAAATAATTCAAAACCTCAAAACAAGATAATAAGGAATCAACAATGGCTACCACCCTCAGAAGGAGATTCCCCCATAGATGCTACATTGCATATTGTTATCCTCTGAATAGATGATCAAACTACTGGCTTTTGGCCTGCAAAGTCAGTGAAACACTAAACACTACAAGAATTAAGTTGTATTTTACCTCAATAGGTATCAACACAGCCCGTGTTTCTCTGGATCAGCTGAATATTGAGTCTTGTAACTCCATATGCAGAATCAGAGGCAATCTTTGGCAAGATATGAGCTTCAAAGAGTTTGGGTAGCTCCACCTCTATGGCACTTCTGATATTGTATCTTCCATGGTTTCTAGAACTAGCCAATAACTAAAGTATTATCTTGTGTGGATTTTTATGTTCTCATAATAGTTTGAATTTATAGTTTTTAAATGCATATATTTCTTTCTTACATATTTCTAACAGCATTCTAAACTTCAAAATCCACAGCAATAGCTGGTCACTTAAGTGAGGTTGGAGTAGGGAAGTGTTGGCTCTCCTTGTTACCTAGCCTGTGTGCTAGAAGGGGCTGGCATCTGGATCTCCCCTCAGTGACTCGTGTGTGGTGCCAGCTTGCAGAGAAGGCTTGTTTTTTTATTGACTTCATGTTCTCTTCTTCCACAGGTACTGATGAATGATGCTGACTCACAGGAAAAGTCTGGCTTCTGGATCTCCCCACAGTGGCCTGTGCATGGTGCTGGCTCACAGGGAGGGCTTGCTTCTTGTTGACTCATCTCATCTTTATAGGAGAAAAAATAGGAATTTGTCATTTGTCTAAACTCCAGCTGGATTTGAATCTGAACCTACCTAATTTTACATCTTAACCTTAGCCCCTATGCTCTTTTGGTATTTAACTGAAGCTAAATTAAGTGTTTTTAGAAGCATAGGAAGCTGGATTATGATGCAGACTATTTGTACTCTGGGCTGGTTCTGCTACACCAGTTGTTTGATCACTAGCAGGTGACTTAAGGGAGCTTGTTAGCTGTTAAATAAAATGACAAATTATAAGATATTTCATGTCTTCTAGTTCAGTGGTTTTGTTTCTGTTAATATTTACTAACCACTATGTGGTCATGAATAGGCATAAAAATAAGTTTAAAAAACTTAAAGTAAATTTAAAATAAAATTCAAATATAAAGAGAACAGTTTGATATTATAATAATTCCTCCTCAAAGGAAAATATGTAGTTATGTTATGTCATTTTACACCCCATACCAAAAAGAATCCAGAAATGTTCATTAAGCAGTCAGCACATATGTTTCAGTGTTTGGTGGCTATGTCAGTAAATAAATTCTATTCACTGACCAGTGGTAGATATATGTACTGATTTCCTGGCTCAGCATTGCAAAAAGGTTGACCACATAAGAGTGTCTATTATCTTTATTCAATTTATCCTGAGATATTTAGAGGGAAAAATTAACATTGTGTCAGGGCCTGAATTTGGATGTTAGATTTCATTTTTTCTTAGAGAATTGGAACTCCATCTCTTATCTCATAGGTAATAGACCAGCCCGTTTCTCAACCACATTTAGAATGGACCCCCTCCATACCAGTTATTTTGCCAGCCCAGCCCCGCCCCCTCATTTATCCCTCCACCCTTGTCTGCCTTGCTGTGTCTCTGGAGGCTGAAACTTGCTGACAACACTCTATGACTCTAAGGAGGAATGAAGGACACCTTAGAGCAGACGGTGTGTGTTTCCTCCCGGCTTCTGGCCAGTGCTGCATCTCTCATAGTAGCTGCGTTACATTTCAGTTATACTTTCTGCTGGGTGGTCTTTCCTCCGCAGCTCCAGATCTTACTCAATTCTATTTTTTTTCTCTGCTATTTTAGCCACAGGGTGGAGATTGGGGCAGTCCCCTTTTTGTATGTGGTCTCTTACCATATTTTGTCATTTTATATATATACATATATATTTGAGTTAACAGTTTCTTTGTTCAAATTGTCAAGGATAAATTGTGATGCTTTTTCTTGCCACCAAATGATTCACTATCTTTTACCTAACAATTATTGAGTTGGAACTTAATACCTCATTCTAAAGATGATTTTGACTTCAGTCAGTGAACACATTTAATGTATTAATATGCTCATGATTATCGAAAAGCTACATGTAGGAGAGTCATTTGTGTCAAGTTCTTGCCCTTGAGAAGTTTAAAATTTGATTAGAAGTTTCATGATCAAGGCATTAAACAGTTAACACGTAACACAGGATATTAAATCTTTCATTGGGGAGCTCATAGGACTAGCTAGGTGAAATGAGATAAAATTGCTGTAGGAAATGTTCATTCTTCATGTTTGCCACATTTCTCTTTTTGAATTTCTTGAATTTCTTTAAAGCTTTATTTGCCATTAAGTTATTCCGAAGTAGGAAGTGTTGGTGAAATTTCAACCAGGAATGGAGTAATTATGCTTATATTCCAAGTCAGCGAAATGCGTCCAATGGTACCTGTTCTATAAACATCATGAAGGGTAAGCAGTCATTCTTGTGTATGAAAGGACACTTTGATCATCAAACAATCCATAGGGCATTTGCTATCAGTCAGTCTGGACCCATCTATTTGCTCGCACCATTTGAGAAAGAATCTGATCAACTGCTGCTTCCTTTGCTTTAGCAAAACTCTTCTGCTGGGCCCAGAGTTATGCAGCAAAATCCCACTTTGCTCATCAGTTTACCCTGCTTGGCTTAGAGGGAAGCCGTAGGAGTGGAAGAGGGCAGGGAAGATGTTGTATTCCAAGGCCTGGTACAGTTATTGCAATCCAGAAGACGGGCTTTAGAAGCTTGGTTCTCAAAAATACAAATTGAATAATTTGACCACAATTTGAAAAGGAAAAGATATCAGAATGTACAGATACTGAGTTCTCATTCTGTGTATGTATACCAGCAGTGCTGCCTACCACAGCAGGCAAGGCTTTATGCAGGATTGGGGAAGGAAATATTAAATATTCAAAGTTTGAATTGTTAAAGCCAGAATAGGCAATATAACTTGCAGTAATCATGTCATTTGCAATTGCTTTCCTTTCCCAAAATTAGGAAAAAAGAAAACTTAGTTTCTTTCTGAACATTCTGATATCTTTCCCTTTTCAAACTATGGTCAAATTATTAAATTTATATTCTTGAGAACCAAGTAAAATCTATTTTTCAGACTGCATGTCATTCATGATTGTGTCCATTGTTCCCAATAAATAATGACTTCCACTCCCTGCACAGAGTCTGCTCCTCCCAGCAGTGTGGAAATTAAGGATGTTTCTGCCAATAGGTATTGGGGGAAGGAGGGCGATAGGGACATAGAAATAATGAAAAAGTAGGACAGGACTTGCCAAGGCCTTAGCGGGTCCTGTCCTGTTCAAGGTGCTCGGGGGCCTTCTTTTCCACCTTTAACTTCTCTTCTCCTAGTTCTGGAGAGGAAAAGTGGCAGTGAAACTCACCAACCACTAACACAGCTGCACAAATGTCTTTTAAATGCTTTGTTTGGGAGTGGCAATTACTGAAGCACTTAGCTAGTAAATGCCTCTAGATATCAGAGAATTAAATAAAAGTGTATGAAAACTGGATAACAAATCAGTAACATCAGTTTTTGAAGTGTCATGTACTTGTTTTTTCATATTAAATCACCCATGAAGCACTCCTCTCACTACAAAAGCCTGGGCTTGTAGAATTAACAGAATAAAGGGCTTAAACTCCAAATAACTATTTTGGGCAGTAACATTTCTGAGTCAGAACCATTTCCCCCATAAACCTGTCTTGCACAACGCATGCTGATGTGAGACTCAGAGGAGATAATTATGTGATAAACTGAAAATCTGTATAATGGTCAAGGAATCATTATTACTATCATTCAGTGAATCATTAGAGAATTGTTAGAAGGTCATTTGTAGGACAACATTCTTAAATTCTAGAAAAATGTATTTGACTTTAGAAACTAAAAGCACTGAGTAAGGTTTTTTGACATATTTATTGTGCATTTGGCATACTACTAAAAATGATCTGAAGTGCTAACAAGACTAAAATACATACATAAAATACATAAAACATTATTCCATTCCATTCTTTTTTTTTGTATTTTATTTATTTATTTTTGTGTCAGGGATCGAATTCACAACCTTGTACTTGCTAAGTAGGTACTTATGTCACTCAGCTAAATCCCAGCCCTCTCTTTTTATTTTAAAGAAGATAAAGCCAACAAAAATAAAATCCATCAGAAATAAACCAGTGTCAGTGATACTGGACTTCAAAACTTTACAAAACCAATAATAGTTACCATAATGCCTTTTCTGTCTTCAAAATGCTACAAATACATTCGGACATAGTAAAAATAGAACATAACAGACTAGAATAGAAACAATAAAGCCAAAATGTGAATGCAATAAAGGACTTCAAAACAAGCCAATAATAAATCAAAAATGGCTCCCATAATATGCCTTTCTGTACCATTACTTAAAAACCTGCTCTAAAGTACTGGGCTCCAAAGGTATACAGCCATATTCAAAAAAATTTTCACAGTGACATTGGTATGGCAAAATAAAACACACAAAATAAAATAAACATGGAAACAAAATAAACACATGTGTCCATTTCTTTGGATCTGTTTAAATAATGATAAACATATATCATGGAATGTTATGTGGACAATGAATAGAACTTTATAAATATTAACATGGAAAGATAGCCAAGAGATGTTAAATTATAAACATAATATATGAAACAGTGTGTTATTTATGATAAATATGTTTATAAAAGCCATCTAATGGTAAAGAAATTATTAAATAGTTTATTTTTTAAATTTTATTTTGAATGTAGTAAAAATACAACAGAGCAAGACAGAACAAAACCAATCGAGACAATGTAGTGACATTGGTACAGAACTTCAAAGCAGGACACTGGGATAGTAGTAATAGGTACTATAGCATATCTTGTTATCTTCACAATAGTTGTCCAGTCAATTAGGAATAGTGAAATCAAAGCAATAATAGAACATTGTAAAACCAATTGATGGAGAATATTGAATAGAGTAAAACAATCATTACAAAACATAACAATGAAAATTATCTTTGCCTTCAAACAGAACATAAAAGGAAATCCCTCATATTTGCTGTATTGCATATGGTCATCCTCCCAAGAGATGCTCAGAACTCTGTTCCCAGTTGCTGACAGGGGTGGGAGTTAGGGGGAGATGTTTGATTCTCAGTTCATGAAGCTGGTAGGCTCATGGGAACAGCTGACTGATTCTCCTCCCAGCGGCGCCAGAGGTGCTTACCAAGAGGGTGGGCAAATTGCTTTCTTGTGCAGCTGCCTAAGTCCCAACATCAAAAAGTTTATTTATATAGTGATATGTGCTAGTAATCAGGAAAATATTTCTATTAAAATTTGTATTAGTACATGTTTGCAGTACATAATTGTTACAGTTTATGTCTGTGTCCCCCTGAGGCCTCATGCAGTTATGCAGGTGGCTTAATCTAGCATTTGTGACTGATTTGTTGTCTAGTACTGGGATTGGTGGTGTGAGTGCTACACCACCCAGGGACAGATAGGTGACACATAACATAAGGGAGGGAAAGAGGTGTGCTCTCTCCTCTTTGCCCTTTTTGCCCTTGTTGCTTGTGGCCCCCGTGAACAGTTAACCCTCAGCCAGTACCATCTTGCTTTGGAGCCAGTTGAGTATGAACTGAGACCTCCAAAAACTGTAAATAATCTAAACCTTGTCTTCCTTCATTTTGGATGTAAGGCATTTTGTCCCAGCAACAAAAGAAAAGTAACCAAGAAAACAATGATTACATTTATTGTGAGGAATTGGTATGTATACATAACTCAATTCTTTTTTCCCTTCTTCTCAACTCCTGATTTTGTAATTTTTTGCCAGCATCAGACTTATTTATTTACATTTATTTATTTATTTTTGGTACTGGGGATCAAACTCATGACCTCATGCTCACCAGGCAGGTGCTTATGCCGTTGAGTTAAATCCCCAGCCTCCAGACTTACTTATTTTTAAGTATTTATCAAGTTAACTATACTATAAACACAGGTGGACAACCAGACTAGTGGGCTAAAACACATGTAAAACACATATAAAAATTACACTAAACCAAAGTACACTCTTAGATAATTGCCATACTGGAGTATAATTTTTTCTTATTTTTATTTTTTGTCTTTTTGAGATAGTGTTTTTGCTGTACAGTTCCAGCTGGCTTGAACTCACTTTGTATCCCTGGCTGGTCTTGAACTCACAGCAATCTTCTTGCCTCAGCCTCCTGTGTGCTGACATTACAGGCATGCACCACCATGCCTGACCCTCTCTCTTATTTTTTCCTATTGTCTGTCTTTCATTTTACCTTTAAGAAAATATTTTAAAAGAACATCTGCTTTTCTTGCCTTATTAATGGCTGTCCATATTATGAGAATTTAATTTTTCTACAATATTTTGTAATGTTTCAATTTTTTCCTGTGGGAAGCAGCTGAAACTGGAGATTGAGCACATATGCAAGGCTCGACAACATGGAGCTCCAAGGTGAGCCACATGAACAAGCTGTTCCAGCTCTGAGAACATGAAGAGCCTGAGGCAATCCAAGCAAATGGGTTGCCAGGCAGAGGGTTGTCATGTGATGTCAACTTGCCAAGTGTATAAATAAATGCACTGCAATTATTGAGCAGTTCCTTTTCTGTCATCTGGAGAGAGGGTTCCACTTGACCTAAGCTTTATGATTTCTGACTATTGTTTGTTATTACTTCATCCTCCACTGTCCTTCATCCCAATAATTTTAAGAGCTATGCTAGTGATTGAACATAGGACCTTCTCATGGGGCCATATCCTCAGTCCTTTTTTTTTTTTTTTTTTTTTTTGCTTTTTATTGTAAGTCAAGGTCTCCCTAAGATGCTAAATTTCTGGACTGAACTTAGGTTTCTCCTACTTCAGATTCTCAGAGTATTGAGATTACAGACATGTGCCAACATGCCTAGTTTATTTAATTTTGT